CGGGGGGGGGGGGGGGCTTTTGCATCTCTAACTCCCAGGTCGGACCCCAGGCCGATTGAATCAGGTCCTCTACTGATGGGACCCAGGCCTCAGTGGGTGTGGAAACGCCCAGGTGATTCCAGTGAATGCAGGCAGGGACCCCTAGCCAGCAGAATTATAACCTCACCCTATTAATAAATGTTGTCCTTTCTAATTTAGAGTCCTGATTTGAATAACTTTTCCCTTGAACGTTTCATCTGTTGTCCTTTCCTTGTTAAAGAAGTCGTTCCTGGTGCCTGGCCGGCGTGGCTCGGTGGTTGAGCATTGACCTATGAACCAGAAGGTCCGGGTTCGATTCCCGGTCAGGGCACATGACCAGGTTGCCCTCTCCCTTCCTCTCTGAAATCAATCAAAAAAAGAAGTCCTTCCTTGCTAGTAGAGTCAATGATGCATCTCCATAGAGTGTCACCGCACCGATTCTCCTTTGCTCCTATGGCCTTGCAGTCTTGCGGTCCTCTTTCTCCTCACATGACCACTCCTCCTCAGTCTTCTTTGCTGGCACCTCGTCTTCCGTTCACCCTTCACTGAAGAAGGCCCAGATCCTTCCGAGGATCCTCTTTTCAACCCGCCTCCTTCCCTCGGTGATGGCTTCCATTCTCCCAGGACTCACAACCATCCATTTGGGAGTACCTCCTTGACGCATAACTCTGACCTCCATCTCTCTGCTGAACTCCGGGTCCGTATTGTCACCTTTCTGAAGACTCTAGAGCTCCTTCCTCTCTGTCTCTCCTCCCATCCATCCGATTGTTATTTAGCACAACTGGGTGTCCTGCAAAAATCAACAGGACGGTGGTGGTCCCCGCCCTGGCAATCGCCACCAAATTGGAAATACAGACACAAGAACAAACCAATCCATACAGTGGGAGAGGTGCAAGGTGAGAGTGGATTGGCCAAGTGACAGCACCTGAGAGAGGTGGGGAATTGGAGGGGGAGATGCTAGGTTAGATTTCAAAGGATGGAAGATCACCCTGGACACTGGTGGGCACAAGGCAGTGTGGTGCTCATGGAATTTCACAAGTTCCATTTGGTTGGAACAAAGAATTGGGTTGCAGAGGGATGGGCAGGGTGGTGTTGAGAGAAGAAACTGGAGAGGGAGACCGTGACCTGGTCCCAGCAGGCCTCCCATGCTGTGGTAAGCAGTTTGTACCTTATAAGTAGACCAGTGAGAGCGAAGGGGGTGTTGAGTGATGAGATGAGATGTTTGTGTTTAGAAAGGTCCTCCTGGACCATGACCAAGTGGACAGATGGAAAGCTTCCTTGATGGGCATTTAGAAGAACCACCTACTTCTGTTGGCCTGCAGCCCCAGCTCTGGTTGTCCAGACCTTAGACATTAACGCTACCCGCCAAGGCCTCTGGGCTCCGCGCGGGGCCGTCACCAGATACTGCTGATTCTTCCCCTCGGTGGCTGGCTGGTTAGCTGGCGGTTGATGGATTTGCATCAGGTTTTTTGCATCCATTTCTTACCTGATCACTCCTTCCCAGTCTTCTTTGTCGAAGTCCAGACCATACCATGCTGGCTTATTCCATCCTGTACACTGTGTTGGCGTTATCTCCCAACAAAACAGAAATGTAACTGTTACTACTTGTTTTTAAAAAAAAAAATATTTAGCCATTTTTCATTGCATCCTGGCCTTTCTACACTTTGGTGCCCGGGGCCGGTACTCTTCTGGCTGCTTCTCCCACTACCTCTCTCCTCTCCTGGCCTCTGTCCTCTGAACTTATCTCTCAACTCCCCTTTCTGGGAACAAGCCCTTTATGGTTCCCACCGCCATATCTTCACTCATGCAGCTTCCTCCACTGGAAATGACCTCCTCTATCAAAGTCAACTCATCTTCCATTTCTCTTCTACTTGGAGTCCATCCAAACGCCGTGGTGAAGAGTATGGCCTCCTGGAGCCCAGCTTCCTGTTTTGGAATCCAGGCTCTGCCACTTAAAATGGTTTGGGCGATTTCCTTAAGCTCTCGGCGCTTCGGTTTTCTCTTCTGTGAGAGTGGGGGGCTGCCGGTCCCCATCTCACAGGGCGGCCAGGAAAATGATAACGGGATTGGAATAGTGCTGAATGCATAACACACGATCGATCAATGTTAGCTGTTTTATCATTGTTTTTGTTTTTTCCCGTGACACCTCCTTTACTTCTATTTATCCTGCAATTGTGAGCCTGTGAACGTGTCATTTGTGAATGTGTCTGGCTTCCCCCGTTATAACCGAAACCACCCACAAGTCAAGAAGACTATGTCTAATGCCCAATGCTTGGAATATAGTAAACACTCCGCTGCCTTTTATTAAAATGATCTCCTGACAACAAGTAAAAACTCTGCAGGTAAATTGTCCTGGGAGCCAACACTTGGTCAGGAACATGTGAACAGGTTGCCCCGAGGCCACGTCTGTTCTCCCAGGCTGCAGGTGGCCCCCAGCGCACACCTGTCTTCAGACATGACCCCTCATCTGGTGACCTGGTCCCATGATCTGGCTCGGCTCCTGGCGGGAGGTTGTAGGCTCCTCCCTGCAGCCCTGAGGAGCAGTGCTGGCGGCCTCTGCCCCCTCGACCACGCCGAGAGCCCAGCCGGAGGGGAAAGGCAGCTTGGTGAATTTCCAGGCTTCCACGGCACCTTCTCTCAGGGTGTTCTGTGCGCTGCGTGTTTTTCAGAAATCAGACGCCGAGGATCCAAAGATCCCCTGGTGAAGGCCCTGCAGCTGCTCGACGGCCCCTGTGAGCCGGGGGAGCCGGGCGTGAAGCCGGAGGCGCTGGCCCGGAGACGGAGCTCCAAGG